CCCCCGCCCGCCCTCCTTGTCCACACCACTAACTCATTCTCTGAAACCCTACCTAATGAGAAATGGATAGGTAATCTTCTCCGGCGAAACCACCTTCGGCTACAAAGAATGGAGCGGACCCCTCATCTCCGTCTCCGGCACGGACCTGACCATCACCGGCGCGAGCGGGCACAGCATCAACGGGGACGGCAGCCGGTGGTGGGACGGCGAGGGCGGCAACGGGGGCAAGACGAAGCCCAAGTTCTTCGCGGCGCACAGCCTGACGAACTCGGTGATCAGCGGGCTGAAGATCGTCAACTCGCCGGTGCAGGTGTTCAGCGTCGCGGGGTCGGATTACTTGACGCTGAAGGATATCACGATCGATAACGCGGACGGCGACGACAACGGCGGGCATAACACGGATGCGTTTGATATCGGCACGAGTACGTATGTGACGATCACCGGGGCCACGGTGTATAATCAGGATGATTGCGTGGCGGTTAACTCGGGGGAGGTGAGTGATCTACGTGCCTGCCTGAAGGGAGTTTCTTTGGGGAGTGGAGGGGTTGGTTGTTTCGGTGATGATGCTGACTGTGTGTGTGCCCGGTGATAGAATATCTACTTCTCGGGCGGCTACTGCTCCGGGGGCCACGGGTTGTCCATTGGTTCGGTGGGCGGACGCAGCGATAATACGGTCAAGAACGTGACGTTTGTGGATTCGACGATCATCAACTCGGATAATGGTGCGTTTGCCTTGGATCTGGTCCCCTTCAAGCCCGATCCCTTTTCCTTTTCACCTCAGTGCCCCGATCCTCAGCCCACTCCCCCTGCACCCTGCAGCCCCCCACCCCACCTCCAACCCATACCCATACCCCAATCATCTCAACCCCCACTAACAAGAAGAAAAGGCGTCCGCATCAAAACCAACATCGACACCACCGGCTCCGTCAGCGACATCACCTACAAGGACATAACCCTCACGTCCATCGCCAAGTACGGGATCGTGGTGCAACAGAACTACGGCGACACGTCGTCGACGCCCACGACGGGGGTGCCGATCACGGACTTTGTGCTGGACAACGTGCACGGCTCGGTGGTCAGCTCCGGGACCAACATCCTCATCTCGTGCGGGTCGGGCAGCTGTTCGGACTGGAGCTGGACGGATGTGAGTGTCAGTGGGGGGAAGACGAGTTCGAAGTGTACGAATGTGCCGAGTGGGGTTAGTTGCTAGCTTTTCTGGGTTGATCTTGGATTAGGAGGGGGGATGAATGGGGGTTTAATATATATTGGGGTTGGGGTTGTTGGTACTAGGTAGGGTAGTGGCTGTGGCTGTGTCAACTGGTTTGGTGGGAGATCTACTGCGCGATTTCTGATTTCAAGCATGAGGAGAAGCGTGCGTTGGTTAAAGTGTGGGCAATTACTGGCAGGATACGAAGCTATGTTTCAGCACCCCAAGTCAAGTCAATTATAGTCAAGTAACGAGCATTCTCTATATACAAATCTACCTATCCCCAACAGCACATTGTCTCACCCTCAATCCACCTCCCAAACCCTCTCCTGAAGGCTCGATCAATCCCGCCGATACCTCCCCCCGCGCCAATGCACCCAAACCGTCGGCAAAACACTGGCCCCAACAATCAACGCAACGACCACCCCGGAACTCTCCGCAACACCCACGCTGTCAAACAAATCCGTGAACCAAAACGGCCCGATGAACCCCCACGTCGAGCGCACAAAGTTAATAAACACGCCCACACTGCCCGCATCGGCGGGGTACGTGTCCACGGCGTAGGTGATCATCACCGTCGTCACAACCTGGTTGCCGAACGCCGCGATCGCCGTGCCCACCACCGGCACGACCGTCCACTGACCCTCCTCCGCCTGCGCCGTGCACACCAGGAACACCACCATCCCCGCCATCGTCACCAGGTACCCGACGTAGCTCAGCCACAGCCGATACTCCGGGGCCGGCGGGTGGCCCGTCCGTTTCGCGCGGAGGTTCATCCACGTGTCGGACAGCACGCCGCCCAGTTGCTCGCCCAGCAACGAACCGATGATGAGTCCCAGGAACTGCAGGCCGAGTTGCTGCGCGTTCAGCCCGAATTTCACCTGCAGCAGCTGCGGGACTTCGACTGAGTTCATCACCGAGCCGAACAGGAAGACCATCGCGTAGGCGACGGAGGCGATGAGCACGGGGATGTTGGTGAAGAGGGTGAGGGGGTGGTAGAACTCCGCGGCCCGGAAGGGGGTCGGGTCGATGCGGTGGAAGAGGGTCAGGTATTCGCGTTTGAAGGTCGAGGTCGTCGACGAGTGCAGGTCGGTGCCGACGTAGCGCGTTTCGGGGCCGAAGGGGAGGTAGAGGAGGAATTCGACGGCGTTGGTCTAGACCTAAAGTCAGTCAAGGACGAGTTGGCAGGGTCAGCTCACTTACAATAGCCAGGATCCAGAAGATCCAGCGATATCCCACTCGCTCCGTCACAAACCCAAAGATGAACGGCCCGATCGGCACCCCCAGCGTCACCATCACCGCCCAGATCCCCATGTAGCGGGCACGTTGGTGGCGGAAGAACATCTCCGTCACAACCGCGCTGCCGATCGCCATGGCCGGCGAGATGAAGAAGGCGACCAGGGCGCGGCACGCCGCCATCGAGGCGTAGTCGGGACTGCGGGCGCAGCCGATGTTGCACACGCAACTCAGAATCAACGATAACAGAAAGATCGGCCGGCGGCCGAAGCGGTTCGACAGGGGCTTCCACAGCAACGGAGCACCCCCCAAGATGGCGATTTGCAGCGAGGTCAGGTAGCTGGTGCGCTGGATGCTCACCCCCAAATCCTCGGAGATCGATTCATACGCCGGGATGATGGCCGCAGCGGTAAACGTGCCCATGCAGGCGTGGAAGGCCACGAGGACCAGGTTCAGGGTTTTCTTCGCATGGTTATTCCCAGCTTCGACAATACACAAAAGCACCGGGCAAGATGTTTACCTTGAAGGCGGGCCAGTTGTACGGATCCGCTGGATCCATACTGGGCACCGGATCGAGTTCCAGGGTGCCATGGCGCTCGATGAGGTAGGCCTTGTGCGATTCAGACAGCGACTCAACGGCATCGGAGACGTAGGCGGTTTTCTCGGTCGTTTCGAAGTAGTCCGAGTGTGCTTTGCCGGATAGGTCTTCCGGCGAGGAGGTCGACATTTCGATGGATGGCATGATGTGAGGATGGGGTGACAGCTCTCAGCATCGTATGAGGCCCGAGTCAACCTGGGGAAGGGGAGATAAAGAGAATGCCCGAATCCCCTCGACCCCGGACCCTCCCCTTTCCCCTCCCCCTCGCCTCCCCACGGGGGCGAATCCACGCCCTTTCGGACCCGCAGCGGGCCAAACCCGGGGAGAAACGACAATTAGCCGAGATAAGGACCTCTAGAACGGGCTGGATTGCCCGCACGGGGCGACGTGGATCCCCCGGTCAGTGCAGCCCATCGTGATTGCCCAGCAAGCGAGCACCCGGTGGATCGGCGGTAGATAGGAGGCAGCCAACATTGCCGGTCACGCTCGCCTGGGGCTGTCAGGGTCGTTATATAATACCGTCCGACGACACAACCGAGGTGGTACGCCGTGTGGCCGAGGATGAGGGAGTTCAACTCCCGAGCCAAACTCCCGGATGGCTGTTTTGGGGCTTAGTCGAGCTGGTCCACGTGCAACCCCGCACGCCGAGCTCAAGACCCAAGCTTCCTGCCCAGGGCCCTTCACATGGTGTTTCGCTGCCTCAAGTCTTCCGACCATGGGCAAGCTACCAGGCTGCCAGCTAAGTTACGGATGGCACAGCTTAGGTAGCTTGATTCAAGCCCTGAGGCTTGACTGTGGCGGATATTTATCCGCACGGATGAGTCAGTCGGTCCTTTTCCGATGGCTTGGACCGCCACGCGCACAACCTGCATCGCATCGCACTGCGCAAAAGCTGCGATGCAAGAAGACAAGGTGAATGCGAGTCAAAGAAATCAGAATTTCTGCATCGGAGTTATAAGCAGAGTATATAAAGTCGTTTTCTGCGACCCTGAGGATAATGTTTCACCCGTCGTTGGACCCTGCCCGACCTCGGCAATTTCAAGGTTGAAACCCCAGATCCCGAGTGTCGGGGTCGACCTGCCGTCTTGGATCTCACATCCGATCGTAAACAACCTCAATGGCAGGTCAGCAAGTCACCTGACCACATCAGATATTCGTTCTTTGCTGCTGAACGGACTCGTATTCGACCACCACCGTGACGCAGGGTCGCGCTTGGAATGCAGCCCCATCGACGCAAGGGATGTGAGCAAACCACAACAAAGGGCCTGCCCTGCCGCCCTCGACCGCTTAAATACTACATGTCAGAGGGTGCGCGCCCGCGTCAGTCCACCACCTGCCTCGTTGCTTCCCAAAGAATCAGACCCTGGTGATCTCTCCAATCGCCACTATGCTTGCCATCAAATCCTTGTCCCTGGGGGCGCTGCTCCTCGCGGCGGTGAGCAGCGCTACGGAATGGACCACCGTGAGTCGCGTAGCCACCAACCCTCGACCACACACTGACCAGCGGACAGGTCGGATACGAGACCACGGAGGGGAGTCGGTCCATGCAGGTGCCTTTGAACGACTGCTGGAAGTTCTCGGAAGAGTAAGTGCGATCGATCCTGGAGATTCCGAGCAGACATTGACAGGACCCAGGGAGGTCAGCACCGTGTTCTTGTCGCGGCCGTGTCGACTATTCACGTAAGCTTCACCCAACCCAGCAGAGTGAGGAAATATGACTGACAGCAACCAGCGCGATCGGCTGCACTGGCCGGAGTTCCATGCTCAACCCTGGTCTACACACCTCCTCCGATCCCATTCCCTTCATCGACAGTATCGAGTGTTACTAGCGGAGAGGAGGATCGATCTGATGTATCATATGCACCATACACCCGTCTAATGGAAATAATTGCCAATAGCCAGGCTTGCTTTTTCTGCACCGAGATGGAATTGTCCCGAGACGCCCAAATGTTTGCTTCTCTGGCAGGGGTGGATATGTCTTCTGCGAATACCCGGGACGTCCTTCATGCTGTGTACCCAGCATGCAGGGTCCAAAGGTTGAGGTTGCCTGATTTCTGGACCCCGTGGGGTATATAAAGTGCATTTCTTCGTAGTCGTCGCGCAAGTCTGTCAACCCGAGGACTGGTGACTCGGCAGTACCGTCAAGATGCGCGTGTTCAATACCATCCTGCTTGCCGCCACCGCCGTGCTGGCGGCACCCCAGTCGCGATGCCATCCAGAGACCGCCCAGCTTCGCCGGGAATGGTACTCCGCTCCGTTCCCAGACTGACTTTTAGCCCTCTCTGACCCTTGCCAGGCAGGAATTGAAGCCCCAAGAGCGGACAGACTACATCGACGCTCTGTGGTGTATGCGCAGCCGGCCTTCACGCCTCCCTCGCGATCAGTTCCCGGGCGCGCGGGACCGCATTGATGATTTCGTGATGTGAGCTGCCCACCCCCACCTCGACAGCCAGACCTACAGACCACTGACACCCAACAGCACGCACATCAACAACACCCTGGTCATCCACAACAACGGGCTCCTCCTCCCATGGCACCGCCACTTCACCTGGCTGTGGGAGCAAGCCCTCCGCGAAGAATGCGGATACGCTGGCGCACAACCGTAGGTCCATCCCTCCATCACCAAACACCAAACCCCTGACTAACAAACGCCGCAGATACTGGGACTGGCCGCTCTACACCAACAACAACCTCCTATCGAGCCCCCTCTTCGACAACTTCCCGACCTCCCTCGGCGGCAACGGCATCTACAACGCCTCGACTGCCGAACACCCCGCGCTCTGCCCGGCCAACCTGGGCGGGTGTCTGCCCCCCGGCGCCGGCGGCGGGTGCGTGAACTCCGGGCCCTTCGCCAACTGGACCCTGCACCTGGGCCCCTTCACGCGCGACTTCGTAAAGTCCTACGGGCCCCTGCCGCCCGACCCCTGGCGCTACAATCCCCGATGTCTGAACCGGAACTTCCGGCCCGAGTCGCTGCAGATCCTCAACAGCCAGCAGCGCGTGGACATGCTGCTCTCCGCGCCGGACATGGACGCCTTCATGGCCGTGATGGACCCGAGTAACGCGACGCTGATCGGGTCGCATGGCGGCGGGCACACGACGGTCGGCGGGGCGATGCTGGACGTCTTCGCCAGTCCGCACGATCCCGCCTTCTTCCTGCACCATGGCATGGTGGATCGGATGTGGACGCTGTGGCAGGAGCGGGATTTCGCGGCGCGGTGGAACGCGCTGAACGGGACGGCGGTGATCTATAACCCTCCGGACGCGCCGTTGGTGACCTTGGATACGTTGATGGATTTTGGGGTCTTGGATCGCCAGAGGAGGATCGGTGAGGTGGTGGATTCGCGGTCCGGGAAGTACTGCTATGCTTATACTTAGCTTCCCTTGTTGAATTCCTAATAGGGAATGGATGCGGGAGCTTTTCGTATCGACGTGATTTGACAACAGATTGGGATACAAGCCTGTATCATGGATATTGCTGTGTTGGAGGCCGTATACGTCGAGATGGTCATGGTAATTCTGTAGAAAAGTTGATGTTATCTGGTGGACGAGATTTTGTCTTGGTTGAGTACTTCTAAGAAGAGTCGACAAGCACTGTGTTGCATATGACCAATTCACACCGTGAGTCAATTCAATGACTTTAGTTCCGCGTCTCGGTTTGCCAGCGGGCCAGCACCCCACCGAAGGACATAGTGATAGGATCATCAGAGCCTAAGACACGCGTGCTTAGCTGCGTGCAATTTGTCGATAAGTCGCGGGCTTCTGCTTCTCGATTCAGCTTCTTCAGCGTGATTGCAAGGTCGTGCATGCTGGCCAAGGTGTGAGGATTTTGAGGGCCCAGTGGTGTGTCAGAAGCAATCAGTACTTTCTCTTGAAGCTTTTGGGATTCTTCCCATCGACCCTGTTCTCTAAATGTGGCTGCGAGGCTGGCGGTACACATCAGCGTGCTTGGGTGCTCTGGGCCTAATTCTCTCTCTAGGCCGCCTATGGCTTTCTCTTCCAGCTCTTCAGCCTCTCTTAGTCGACCCTGATCTGCATATATCTTTGCTAGCAGGGACATACTCAAAAATGTGTTAGGATGTGTAGGACCCAGTACTTTTTTGTAGGTACCAATTACTTGCAGTATCAGCCCTTCGGCTTCTCTCCAACGGTCTTGATGCCAGTATATGTTTGCGAGGTTGTGCATACCGAGCAACGTGTCGGGATGATATGGCCCTAATACTCTTTTCAAGCCATCCATTACTTGTACGCCCAACTCTTCAGCTTCTCTCAATCGGTTCTGCGCTAGGTAGATTATTGTAAGTCGACCTATGCAGTGCAATATTTCAGGATGCCCAGGGCCCGGCGCTGACTTGTGGGCCTTCATAACTTGCAATCCCAGCTCTTCAGCCTCCTTAAATCGCGCTTGGCTTGAGTATGCTGATGCGAGGTGGGCCATGGTCTTCAAGGTGTCGGGGTGTTGGCAGCCCAGTACTCGCTTCCGGATGTTCATCACTTGTGCGAAACACAACTCGGCCTTGTGCAATTCCCCTTTCACTATACACACCAATCCTATCATCTGCGTACACTGTAGTGTGATAGGATGCTCTTGACCTAATAACTTCGCTGCTGCTCTCTCGGTCTTTTCTGCCATCTTCACTGCCTCCGCCCAATTTCCTTTGATCGCTGCATACGCGACTGCCTTATACATGAGCGCTGCCCAGTCTTGAAGAGAACGTTCTGTGTCTGGCCTGTGTCGCACAGCCATTCGGACATGTGAGAAAAGTGCCTGAGATCTTTCCCAATATCCAAACCCCCCTGTTAAGAAGGACTCGCCAAGGATAATGATGAAACGTTCTCTCCAACGTTCAAATTGCCCATGTGCTTCGAGCCCCTTGCGTGTAGCAAGTTGCACCAGCCGATGCATTTCGAAGACATCTTCATCTGTTATGGAGATTAAAGAATAGTCTCCTAATATCACAACATCTTTTTCGAACTGGTCGTCATAACTGGACGTACTCTCTTCATCACTCAAACCTGTCAGGTCATTCCCCGGTGGATCTGCACGCCTAGCGCCTTTGTCTCTTCGATGTCGGAGTAAGGCTTCAGGAATCCCCTGTCTGTCGAAAAAGCTCATCAGCGACAACAGATCCGCTGCTGATGGCCTAGTCTGTCGCATGTGATCGAAGGTTATCTGCCATGTAATCATGATAGAGTTATGCGCCTCTCGATCTCGACGAAGATGGCCTCCTTCGTTGTCCAGAAGACTCAGCTTCCTGCGATCACTCTTCTGGAAGAGTTTCAGATATTGTGAAACAGAAAAGCGCGGCAAGCGGTATCTGATATAGCTTGCGGCTTGCACGATCGCAAGCGGCATATACTCCAGGGCGGCGACAAGCTCTTCCACCTCATCTCCAGCTAGGTTCTGTTGAACATCGAGCTTCTTCTGGAAAAGCAGTCGCGCATCCGTCTTGTGCATTGGTCCAATTGCGATGATATCACTTGGCTCGACAATCCGCGAGGCAACCGCTGCACTGCGGCTGGTGATGATCAAGAACCCATTTGGGCTCTGAGGAATATAGTCGATGAGGGCCTTTCCCGTCGTGCTCACCGAGTCACCAGGGGCAGCCTTGTTCAGAAACTCATCGTCATCGACATTGTCCAAGACTAGAATCCATTTGCCCTTCCTCTCATCGCTGAGCCAGTCCCGAACGAGTTGGAAGACATCGGCCTTAGGATCTTTCCGACCGGGGATTTTAACACGGTCGGCAATTTCCCGGAAGCCTTGCTCGAATCGAGCAGCATTACTCGTGTGTACCCAGAAGACCCAAGTGTTCGGGAAATTCTCGCGGACTTGGTAACAGTATTCGATGGCAAGTTGCGATTTCCTCCGAAATATCAGTAATGCAGTCAGCCAACCACGGGTTATCGTGACCTACCCAACGCCACCGAGACCGACAAGCGCGATTCGAGAAGCAGGAGCGGAGCACTTTTCACGGATCTGGTCGAGAAGTGTCCCGCGATCGACGAAGTCTGGATCTCGACGGAACGGAACGGTGGAGAGTGGATGGGGCGGGGTTTCGGGCCGTTCTGTGGAGAGAACCTGTCAGTGGATGCGATGGAAATGAGAAGACAACTAAAGCACTTAGTTGAATTCAGATGGCCTTTCGATGATACTTTGGTGATGAGCTCAGGAGGAGAGCCAAGAACGAGGTGGGAGCTGAGAGGAAGAACTGCCTGCGGGCTGCCTTTCATAAAGGGAAGCGCCACAGACACCATGGACTGCAGCGGGAGCAACTTACCCGGTGGGACATGAAGCTGGGCGGTGATCGCACCATTATTGATTCCAACCTGAAGTTCAGAGTTCGGACCATTGAAGTAAATTGATGACATGATTTGTTTGACCCAGACCGTCACACTCCATTGACAGTAGGTGAGACTCGGTTTGTTATTTTGGTAGCCTTCTCCGGCGGCTAAAAGAGGCTATCAGGTGACTGGTGCCTTGGGCATCAGTCTTCGCGTTAGCAAAGCCATAGTGTTTGTTTGTTTGCTATCCAGCGGTCGTCTCAGAAACCCTGACTACGAAGAAATTGAATGATTCCAGGTTGCAGCAGAGCATGCCTGTCAATTGCCTGGTTATGAGGATACGTGCACAATGCATTGATCAATTAATCAACTATCACATCACTGGTATCACGCGCAGAGAATCACAAAGCGCTCTAGAATCTTCCGCAGTGCACTTACGCTTACTCGTTCTCGTCGACCCCGATAACAGTCGACTTGAACTTCCGAGCCGGAACCTTGCGATTAAACAGGATATCGGCTTCACGGTACGTGCGGTGCTTCAGCTCGGGCAAAAAGAAGTAAGCCATGATCCAGCACACGCAGGCAGTACCGCCCCAGACGTAACCGCACTTGCCAGCCAGGTTCCATCCGGTGGTGTTGAGCATCTTAGAGGCCAGGTAGATCATGGGGATTTCTGCCACATAGTAGGCAGCACGACCGACAGCGGTGCTCAGCGCACGAAGGCGGATGGAAGAGGTCTCGGAAATGATAGTATAGGAGATCGGTCCGAGAGTACCGGCAAAAACGAAGGAGATGAGAATTCCGAGAGAGGCCTGGGCGATGTTGGTGTGGTCGTTCTGTTCCACTGAGGCGACGATACCAAGAATAAAGAGCAATATGATGTTGGTTGCAGTACCCCAGAGGTAGACCGTGCGGCGTCCGAACCAGGCGGTTACAACCCAGGAAAGGCCGTTGGCGACCAATTGGAGGCACGAATTAACCAGGTTAAGCTGGAAAGCACGTTCAGACGACATGCCAGCCTCTAAACAAGGTATCAGCCATCACATCCTTGGTCTCGGGAACTCTGGAATCACTCACGCTCGAAGAAAAAGGTTGCTTGGTTGGCGATCAAATTACCTGCGAAGTTCTGCCCTGCGTAACAAAGACACGATATCGTTGTCCTGCGCAGATCAGTACCCTTGAAAAGGTCGAGGAGGGTCGGGCTTCCACCCTGCTCCTTTTCGATCTTGACGGTACGCTCCATCATGGCCAAAGCCTGGTGTGCCTCCTCTTCCTTCTCCTTCCCGAGGCGCTTGATGGACCGAAGAGCCTCCTCCCGACGCCCACGACGAATCAACCACCAAGGCGACTCAGGGGCAAGGAAAACCAGGATCAGGAGAGGTGTCTATAAGGGTCAGATTGCGTTGGTGGAACAAAAGAAAGGATAGACTGACCGGGAACATCCACTGCAGGGCCAGGGGCGCTTTCCAGGCCCACTCGTTCTCATACTTGTTGTAGCTGTAGGTAGCACCGGCGACAATGATCGAGCCGATGGACCAAGACATCTGCAAGGTCGCGGTACATGCACCTCGAAGAGCGAGGGGCACAACTTCACTGGCATAGGCAGGCGAGTTGGCGATAAAGAAACCCCATGGCACACCTTCCAAAGCTTGACCCACGGTCAGGAGTGCGAGAGAGTTGGCCTAATCGGATTGCGTCAGACGGTAGCTCCGAATATAACACGGAACAACTCACAAAAAAAGAGACGAAGATAGTGGCGTTCATGAGAATCAGGCCGATTATTGTCGTCCATCTATAGCCTAGCTTATTTGTAATAGGACCGGCTAAAAAAACGCCGACAAATGCGCCACATTGACCAGCCTGGAAAAGCGCACTCTGCCACCGAGTCGGGATGACCTTGTCTGTTGATCCCGCCACGGAAACACCAAACTTTTGTTGGAATGCATCGAGGGCGACAAAGTTACCGTTCAGGAACATGTCGAACGATTCCATGACCTACTTGCATTAGCGGCGATCCGGCAACCATCGACCGAAGATCAGCTCACAATAGTGAAACACATGATGAAAGCCCACAAGCAAGCCCAGGGGTGCGTCTTGGCCGCCTCCCACACGCCCATCTCATGCTCGCGGTTTTCGGCATCGAACGCCTCTCTCATGAGATCAGAGTTCTGCTTGAGCTCGACATGATCAATGTCGACGTGCTCCCCACGGAGCTCATCCTTGGATTTCTCAACGTCAGTCGACATACTGCAAGCGCGGATAATGTCAAAGTGCCACGGAAGAAACAGAGAAAGCCAAGCCGGGAAAAAGGGTAAGTACCGGGTCTTATAGTTTCGGCGCCCTGCACGCCTCCCAGCCTGAGGTTGCATTCACAGCCAGGGGAGCTAGTCTGTGTTTGCCCGCCGGGGTTTTGCCAATTTTTCCGACGCAGGAAGCGAGCATCTTGAGTGAGACGACAGGGGAGCGTTACCCGAAGCAGGGCAGGCGCCGAGACAACAGGGTTCGATTGGAGCGGGAGGTGGTTGTGGCGTGCGAAATCCGGTGCTAAAGGGTTGGTGGCGTTTTGACCAACCAGTCGCAAGGGAGAGAGAAATCAAATCAATTTAGGATGGACTGATGCGAGGGCCAGGCGTGAGACTGTGATGGTAACCCCGCGGGGATTGGCCTTCTGTGGATAAATCTCAATCCGGTTATGCGGGGCCCCAGGGGCCAAACTGGGATAAGCCTGGAACTGTGGGTGCTTGGTTGTCGGGTCATTCTTTGCGGGGATGGAAACTGTGTTCGAGAGATTTCACTTCGATTGGTTTAGATCAATCCAGGCAACGTGGTTTGCTGAGAGCCAATTGACTGATAAGAGGTGATTGAGAATCGATACAAATGTGGGAATGGAGCCCAACCCCAGAAAATCCCGCGTTCTCCGCAGTCTGCACCCCGGTCAGGTGACCTCAGACGGCAGAATCATTATCCAAGCATCGGGTAAGTTAGGCGGTGGACGCCTGGCGAAGCTTGAGCGAGATTGCCTCCTCGCTTTGGCTGGTGGAAGATTGAGGCGACAGATTGTGGCTGCGCCTTAGCGGGAGTTAGGAATTATCGCACCTATCGATGAAAGCGATTGGGAAAAGACGTTGCAGCCGAGAAGCTTGCTACACATGGTCACCGCATGCGGTCACAACATGATGCATCCGAGCCCGATCAGGATCTACCCATCTCGTGCAGTGCCCAGTGGCGGTCAGCTTTAATATCCAAGGAGAGATTCATTCGTGCTGGACGCCAACAGGTGGAGTGACTTGCTTGGGTGTTGTTCCTGTTGTGATGTCAGACCCACGGTTTAATATGCATGGATAACTGTAAGTGGTCGCTTGCCATGGTAGAGCTTCGGTTACAGAGCAAGCTGTCTCCGAGCAGGAGGTCACTTGCCCGAGTAACAAGTGAGCGTCCTTGTTCGGCACTCGGCCGACGGTGCAGTGTCAGGAACCACTACTCCAGATCACATGCTCTCCCTTGAGACAAGCCAGCTCTTAGGATCACACTGCAGTCTTGCAGCCTGTAGCCTGGACCCGCTGTCCACCACAGCCTACTGGCTTCATTACTCGCACCGCAACATCCTTCCGACCAGATGGCGTGGTCTCACTCTCAGAATGAATACGTGCAGATCCCGAACCCTTCATGCGAGTCACAACGCAGAAGATGTCGACACACAAAAAACATCAACGTCCAAGGTCTCAAGTGCCAAGGAACCTCAGGCCTGATGGAACAAAGAACTAGAACAGCACTGACAACGCAAGCTACGTGTCCAAAGCTATAACGAACCACCACAGAATGCCACTCCGGTTCGTTATAGCAAGGATCTTGTTATATCAGATAGTCATCCACTCAGTTCGTATGACCACCACAACCCGAGCGCCATCACACACTAACTCCGAGCAAGCTCACTCCCAGAAAAGGAAAATGACCCCGACCCCGGCCGGGGCCCGCGCTACGTCGTGCCCAACGCCCACACTCGTGACCTCTTCCTCCTCTCTTCCCTCCCCTCCTCCCCTCCCTCCCTCCTCACCAACAACCACGATACCACGACTCTTGTCCCTTGCACGGATTATGAAAACCACACTACACATCCAGATGAGCAAATATCCAGGCTCGTTCTCCCTCTGCGAAGGACAACGCTACTCATCACCCCCCGGCACACCAGGTACATTCGGACGGCACGAAACACACGACAGCCCTTCCTCGCAGAAGGCCCCCGGGTAAGGGGCGCAGATCTCGCCGGGGCCGCGCTGGGCTATTGCTGTCACTGCCAGCCAGACGAGGAGATGAAAAGGTGGGGAGTGCATTGCTGATGGATCTTATGATGTGGCTGTGTGGAAGTAGGCCTCGCAGGTGATGTCCAGCAGGCGATGTGCGAGTCGAATGCACTGGGCGAGGTGGGGATTTATAGGGCCGGTAGTGTTTTGGGAAGGCTTGTTGGGGGTCAGTCAGGGGGGTCCGTCATCACCAACATCATTGTCGTTGGGAGATCTGTGGTCGGAACCAAGTTCCTCTGCTTGGGATTTTTCTGGGTGTAGGTATAACAAGGCATAACGGGGTTGGAACGTCGGTTGGGAATTGGAGCAGCGCGCGGGGAGGCCACCGATGGGATAGACCTAGGACCCTCCGCGGGGTGTGGCAGGATGAGGTCTGGATCGTGGCGTTGCCAGCAATGGCGGCGGAATTCAATGCCGACTCGTAGATCACCCCATTGGAGACAAAAGTAATACAGAGCTATTGAACTAGAGAAACACTCAGGATACGAATAGAAAACGCAGTAAAAGTCATGAATATCTCGCTACACTCGATGTTATATGCATTATGGTATCCTAGCGATATATACTCCCCAGAAACGTAAGCTACCACCTATATTATAATCAAATCACACTTCCGACTGCTCCCAAGAAACCAGGTGTGACTCGCCCAACACCCCCTTGATCACCAGCACCAGCTCGTCCACCGTACTCAGGAACTTGACGTACGCACTCACCCCGACGCAGTACCGGCGATAATCCTCATCCCGCAGCATCTCCGTCGACAGCAGAGTATCCATCGCGTGCGCGTGCCAATACTCCATAGACCGCTGCATCAGCGGGGTGGGCAAGAGCTCGGGCGGAGCATCGCCCGTCTTGAGCGCTTGCTCGCAGACACTCAGCACGGCCATGATCTCGCCGATACAGCGATGGTCCAGTAGCCCTGTCATCCGCGCGAGGCGGTCTTGGTATTCTTGCGGCAAGGAGGCCGAGAGGGAGAGCAGACGCCCGAGGTTCCGGTTCAATCCGTGGCAGAGGAGCTTGACTTGATCCATGCTCGAGCTGTCGAACCGCGAGCTGGAGAATTCATAGCGCAGAAGCTGGATAGGCCCATCGAGCAATACGAGGGACTCGGCCATCTGGAGTGAAATTGGCTCGGCGAGGATGCGACCGTCTTCCTGGCCTCGGCTCCAGCACGACAGTAAAAGTGCGTAGTGATCCGAGATGGCACGGATGGAGGTGGACAGGGTCTTGCTGATATGCTTCGCAGCGGAGGGAGGGTGCGGGAACAGCTGAACTACGGTCCCCACACCGATGCCGATCAGCACTAACAGCAGTCGACGCCAAAAGACGGTGTATCCGACGCCGGGATTGCCGTAGGTTGGGATGTGACTGCGTAAATAGTCAATCACAACAGGACTACCTAGTAGTACTTGCGTATTGGAGTGAGTTGTACTTACGTATCGTCGTAGCTGTATGCAACAACAAGCAAAAAGGTAGCACCTCCCATGATACTCCCCTGTAGGAGACTAGGAGGCAAGAAGAGACGTGACCAGAGGAAGATCACAAGCATCACGGCCATAATAGCTGCTAGTCCATAGGGACTTCCCGGTCCATTGCCTGAACCGATATACCATGCGAGCAAGCCCAAGACACCTCCGACAACGGTTCCTATAACGCGCGCAATGACGGAGAATAGGTAGTCCGCCATGTATGGCAAGAGACCTGTCTGCGCCATGATCAAAGCCCAAAGACCTTTTTCGCGATAGAAAAACCCCGCCGTACTAGGTAGAGCAGAAACAATACCGATGGCAATAGTGACCACTACCATACGTAAGGCGTAGAGTCCTTCGGCTGATGTGAACCAGTGATACGTGCCCAGAATAGTACGACTAAGCAGACCGCGGCGCTTGACGCGGTATCCGCGACTCAACCGCAATCTCTCTTGCACTGGTTTAGTAGCGTCGGGCTGCTCTTCTGGATCGTCGTCGGCGACTTGAGCCATGGCAGGGGCTTTGTTGCCCTTGCCTGACACCCAAAACACGAAGGCTTTGAGACTCAACGGCCACCACACTCGTGTTCGCTGAGAGCTTTGGAAGATTTTCAGAACTTGGTCCAGTAGGGACTCGGTTTTGTCCATCGCGTTGGCCATGATTTCCTCAAACACCATACCAACTACGATCCCTCCAAAGTTCTTGGCGTGACGGTCAGCGTCCTCACCCGGTCTCCCGTCCATTAGCGGCCCGTAGCAGCTAACCAGCGACTCTGTTGTCTGAAGAATGAAGGTTTGGCGCACTGCGCGAAGATCTTCGAGGGTCTTGCGGCTCCGCTGGCACAATTCCTCCCGCGCCTCGGGCGAAGAGCGCCGAAACCACGGTCGGCCATTTGCCATGTGAATGCAATCCTTCGCGGCTTTAAGTGCACTCAGACATGCGTCGATGGCTTTTGAAGACGTGCTGACAAATGTTTGAAGGGTTTCTTCCGGAATCGGCTCGTTGTCGGAGTTGCGCAGACCGTCCAGCAAACGCGCCATTTGCTGCAGCTGGTGGCGTCCGACTTCACGCAAGGGCTTGGCTTTTTCTTCCTCCGACGTAATTTTATCGACGTACTTCAGTAGAACCTCCTTGGCGCGAGCCTTGCCGGAGACGCGGTTCATGTGAAACTCGAGCAAGGAGAGAATGGCTCCGATAGCCTGTCGTACGGGCTCCTTGAGAGTTCCCACATGCTGCGCGCCCCAACACCCGATCGAGAAATCCAACGGCAAGAAAGCCAGGGCGGGCTCGACCTTCCGATACTCGCCGATGATCCCGACTTGCGTCTTGCGCAACTGCGCCATATCCAGGTCTGGATCCCGTTTCCCGAGCGTCGCCAAGGTGAAAGCTAGCGGGTGAGTGAGCAGCTCAATGATATCCTCCATGCTGTTGAGAACGACTCGTGATGTGGATTGCGGAAAGATCAGCACCGAACAGGCAAACCCCAGACCGATGCCGACGCCAGCCGGCTTGGCAAGTGCAAGGGGTAGTGTGCCATTGAAGGACGGAAGCAGGGGTAGATACGTGAGAAACAGATCTGATATTATGATGCCAAAGATAGCCGTAAATGTCGCTTTCGGATTGCTGGCTCGAAGGCGTGCCTAACTTTACGGTTATGACTGTCGGGCAAACGAGCATGGGTCAGAGTCATACCATGAGATAGATAAAAGTACAAATGAGGCAGTAAGTGACAGCTGTCACACGCGCATCCAGCATATGGCCTTCGTAGACCAACACCTGGAGCACACTGGCGACTGGCTGCCCGGTCGCATTAGCACGTTGCACCGCGGTTTGCTCAAGGGCCAGCAATTGCGCTTGCGTGTCTGCAGATGATCTGGCCGCGTAGGCGGCCTTCATCGTAATGACGCCCCATGCCCAGGCTAAGCACACACCCAGATATAGGGAGAGCGCTCCGAGGAGATAGATAAACACCACACTTGATGGCGGGAGCATGAGCAACACAAGACTAGTGCGGTCAGTTGGCGCGTACTGCAGAATAACAGTCAATTCGACCTACCATGCGAAGAAAGTAGCTTGTCCAAGACTCGACAGGGATGGACTGATCAGGAACAGCAGACAAGCCACCCAGGCCGCAACCCAACAGCGGAAAAGGATTTTCAAGTCGCGCGCGTTGAAGTGGTCGAGAAATGGCGGCAGACGCTTTTTCCCTCTCTTCAGAACGGTTTCTTGAAGGTTTTCTAGGGGTTTCCCGTCGTTCCTAGGCGGGGCTTCGTTTATGTCGGCCATGGTGTCACCGTTGGTTGCTTTTTATCCAGGGACAAGATGACTGCCGGCTGTCCTTTCTCTGCGCTGCATGGATGGATCCAGTGACACTTCTAGTGATTCAAAGAGATGTAAAACTGATGATAAGCGATCGTACCATTTACCCAACGAGATGAATAGAAATGAGTGACTAGTGTTGGACAGAAGTGATGATATCGAACCGAGGATGGAAGGCAAGAAAGGGATGAATAGACTCCAGGGGAGAGAAAATGTCAGACGGTTGGGCACACGTGGGGGCGAGGCGAGTCTATTTCACCTGCCTCGAGTTTGTGTTCGGAAAAGCAAGTCGATCTGCAGCCCTTAAACTTTATGATTAGTGAAATAGTCGGGCTGATCTTTGCTGTTCGCATGCAGCTTATGCTCTCTCGATCCCAAGTTATACGGTAGTTGTGCACGGAGCATGCGTCATCGATCTGGGCTGACGTAATACCAGCGCACAAAACCGGACAATGCCAATGACATAAGCACAATTTTGATTAACTAACAAGCACGCTAGATCTAAATAGTCAATCGCTATCGAAATTGACTGAAACCTGGATCTGGATCACTAATCACTTCATTTTCCACAAGCAGAATTAGCAATACCGACCCCACTAGGCAAGATCGATGAACCCCTAATGTGACCGAGCCTCTAGCTTTCGGTAAAGGTAGGCAATTGGGGAGAGAAGGGGAAGGAATACGTAGCGACCGAGATGGGACCCAAATTGCTCCTTTTGAAGCGGCCAGCCTATACAGCTGCAAGGCTCTGCTAAAATGGGAGCGCCGCAGCAGTAACAGAAATTCTTTCCACAGCTAGAGGAATCCAGTATTTAGTCCCCAAGCTCGGTCAGGGATAGCAGAGTTACTGGCATGTCACGACCTTGCAACCATCTCTAGCATGTTCCACCATCGTCTGGCACCAGTAGCATCGTCGCCATCTCTTTGCCTTGGCCAGTTTCAGAGTAGCCCCAAGGGCCCTATCCTCACGACACTACCCGGGATGTGCGATTACCCGGCAAGGAACGTGGGTCTTGGTCCCACAATTGGGACAACACGCATAGTCTCCTTCAATGTTGCGAGGCGCGATAAAAGAAGAGCAAGAAGGGACTGCGCAGTATATCGGCCGTTCGATTGTGCGTTCAAGCACCTTATCCTGGTACAAGTAATACTCGTTATCATCTGCAGGAAGCGAATCAGCTGCTCCGTGACTGCCAGACCACAACATTGAGGTCGAGATCTGGACTCCGTTGCTGCGGAAATGTGAATCATCGTCGAGCACAATCTCCACACGCTTGATGGCCGCATTCGAGGATCCAGACATGATTGCATTCTTCGAAGCAGTACATGCATCGAACACCAGGCTCTGTTGAGTGGGATAAGCCCTCGGGTACAGCTTCACCCATGC